GGGAACAATAACTTGAAATGTATTCATTTTTTTACAACTAACTGAATGCTTTTCCAAAATTGTTTGTGATATAAATAAATTTAAACAGCGTTCACATAACCATGATTTATTCTTTCGATTAGGTAACTGTTTATGAAGTAATCGAGATAAATTTTTAATAAGAGCAAAATTATATGTTTCTTGTTTAAAACATTCAATTTCATTATCATCATCACTACTATTCACATCCTCAATATCAGAATGGTTTGGTAATAGTAGTAAATTTATTTTAATAGAAAAGTCATTTTTACTTAAAGCTAAAGGAAAAATTTCGTTTTTTTGATAGCTGAAAACGTTTATAGAAATTTTATTACATTTTTCAAATTTTGGAATATCCTTTAAATGCATAGGAAATTGAAACTTTTCATAGGTTAATTTTCTTTTATCTTTTCTATAGGTTATTTCACTAAAATGAGGATAGGATGAAACACGATTAGAATTAATCGAAACAGGATTTAAATATGCAACTATTGACCAAAGAAAACAATATTCATCATTATTTTTTATGTTTATTACAGATTTCGTTTTGTCTATAAATTTAGGTGTATTAACAAATGTAGAAAAACATACAGTAATAGGTACAAATTTATTTATATTTACTTTAAGTTGAAGAATTTCATACACAAGTGCCCAACCACTATCTCGTTCTTGAAATTCTGATAATTTTGTTAAAATATAATTTATAATATATTCCTTATACCACTTTTTTAAATTTGTAGAATTATCAATTATTTGATTTTTAGTAGTGAAATGCTTTACTTCTATTTCAGAATTAGTAGGTTTTATAAAATTAGCTAAAAAGTTAACATTAACTTTAATCATTGAAGTCTTCAGAGCTTGTCTAATTTTAATTAAAAAAATTCTTAAGGCCTTTTATAAAAATATGTCTGGATCTTTTATGCCTAAATTTATTATTAAATCTGTTCGAATCCGCCCATTAAAACATGAATCAACATCGACCCAAACTAAGTTTTTTGTTTTTTTAGTCTTTATACGTTTCTTTTTTAAATCTTCCCTATACTTTGTAGCGTTTTTTAAACCACTACCACTGCGAACGGCAGCTTTTCATCGGAGAGCAGTCGTGGATAAGGTATTTCACTAGAGAGAAAATTAATCAGTAATAATTAACAAAAGATATATAGATATTGGGCGCCAGGCATGTACAGAGAAAGAAAACACAGTTGTATAATACTTAAAACTAATGACTATATTTATTCATGACGTTCTTTGCTGATACATGACATTGTAGAGTTCTAGTAAATATATAGTGGTTATATGTCAAAGAAAGTGGTGGTAAGAGTCGTACTAAATATCAATGAAAACAACTACGATAAAATACAGGACATGTAAAGTTTAAGAGAAAATATGAAATGTAGCATTACTTTAATTAATTTGATATATTCCATATGATGCTAAATCGAAGATGTTACAACCTGTAGATTCTAGAATCTATGTTTGATTATCCATCTATTAAAATAGTGCAATAATATCTATAAAAGTAATACCATTACAAGACGTAATGCAATGAAACCTAAGATCTAAATTATATTTTAAAGATTATATCGACATGAATGTTCTTAACAATCTAACCACTGAACATAGTCTGTACGATATTACTTAAGATGTACGTTATTGTTTAAGACTGAAAATGTTTTAGTTCTAGTTAATGTATAACTAGAACTTAAATATACACTTAGCTGTTCTTTTATGTAACCTTGCTTCAAACAGTAGCAGCGTGAGGTGGTCTAGCATCTCTGTACTGTCTGTCGGCGATCCTGTTGGTCAAAACAACAAAAAGGGCCAGATTGAGGACACCATGAATCCTTACAGCCGTAGCTACTGACTAGACTTACAAATGGGAGTGAAGCAGCATGGGACTCAAGCTACATCCACGCTGTGGCACTTAGATGTAAGAAAAAATCGTTCTTACTGGGGACACTCGTCCACAGGACATCTGTACATAAGAGAATGTCTGTACATAAGGCACTACCCGTACCTTGGACACAGTCCGTACCTTGGAAACAGTCCGTACCTTGGACGCAGTCCGTACCTTGGACCCTCGAAATACTTCCGAGGGCTCAATAAATAATAAACAACATGTCCTTTCTTCCATGTGACATTCTGGAGGACAAAAGAAAAGGGACGCCAACGTGCCAGCAAAACACAAATACAAGTTGGGACATCCGTAACTCTACCCTGTAGCTTCGAAATAGCAGCTGATTCAGATTACACAGCAAGATTTAAATAATCACCATTTCTCAAAAACTGGGACTAATGGCGTCTGACAGGCCAAACAGTCTAACCAAAAGTGAAGTTAAATCACAGAGAGTTGACAGAAGCGATGTTGACAGCGCGCGCCTCCACAGAGCGATAACAGGGTTGTGTCAAACGAAAACAGGGTTGTGGACTAGAGAACGTAAAAATTCGTCAAATAAATCATCAGGCCCGAACGATACGGAATCGGGTGACGATATGCCAGACATCATATATTATATATAAAAAAGACATGTAACGAACTAAAAACGTTACAACTTTAATAAAAATGATAATTGAGAGTCTACTTTATAAAATTTTTTCACACAATCTAGTTTATTCTTAATACATTTTCTAATATTTATAATAAACCCCTTCAAAATTTTAGTCCATTTTAAAATTTCAACTTTAGATTTAATTAAATGTCTTATCCTCTCAAATTTTCTTATCACTTCATTAGCAACACCATCAATTTTTCTATTCATATTGATTGTGAATAGAATGTAAATATATTTAATGAGGTGGGATTTCAACAGTAACTGAAGGTTTTTATAGTCACATCTGAATATAAACGATAAATATATTTTTTCGATTTAACTGAGTTAATTGTATCAAAATTCATAATATTTATTCTTATTAGAATATTAAAATTAATTTCATACGATCATGATTTGTTTGTATGCATATAATTATCGTAAATTTTCCACAAATAATACATTTTTTATCACTATCTAGGATTTAAATAGATAATTGTGTAACTTTATTAGATAAATTGTTTTCACAAAATATTAAAATTAATTGCTTACGTCTTGTTTTGGTTGTTTAAAATTATTAGAAATATTCTAAGAATCATTAATTTGTTTTTTCAATGTATTCCAAGCGTGTTAGAACTTGGTTTTATAATTTGAATAATCTAACGTTACATTACAATTTTTTACAGACTGAGCGAATGTATATTTTAATAAAATTATCATCAAATTGCAAAATAAGCATAATTATTGTTTTTAACAACAAATATATATTGCATGTGATTAATTTATTACTTTGTATATATTTTTTTAATAATTAATCTTTAATTTAAATACTCATTGTTTTTAACAAAATGATATTGCATATTATTAATTTATTACTTTGTATGCATTTTTTTAATAATTTATGGATTTGTTTTGATTTAGATACATGTTCTAAATCTGAGTATCCTGTAAACAACTTATTATTCATATCGTGTTATATATATTTTTCTTTGTTTTAAAATATATATTAATGCATAAAATTCTATGCTGCATTATAGTCAATCTTGCTCTAAGATGAATACTCCTTCGATATTTATTTTTGAAAGCCTAGAAAAGAAGAGACTGCTGGTTGTTTTTTTGAAAAATTCATTTAGGTAATTCTATTGTTTTTTTCTATAAATTTATTTTCATAGTAGTTGTTTTTTGTATTTTTTTATTTATTCATTTATTGTTTTTCTATAAATATTGTTTTTTGTTATATCTTTAGATATGGGTTGAAAGAGGTAAAAGTGGTTAATGGAAGAGTACATTTATATCTATCGTATTCACCAAAAAATGCAAGAGTTGAAGCAAAAATAAAAAATTTACCGCTGCAGTATATCAGGGTGGTAGCAGAAGATGAAACAGAATTACAACTTTTCCTACAAGGCATGAAAGAATTTTGCAATGTAAATTTTTACCCTTCTATTGAGGAAGAGAATACAACAAGTCAAATAGAGCCTTCACACCATCACCACCACCCTGATGAAGTGCAGGAGCCCAAACATAAGAAGATACAAATTTTGGAGAACAGAATGGTTTACCCAACATCTTCACAACAACAACAACAACAATTAATAGAAGTTTACGATGAAGATGCTGACGACTACGAGGGACAGAAATACACCGTTTTATCACTATAGTAGTCTATTCTTTATATTATTATAGTCTATCTATATTTTAATAAATAAAATACATTATTATTATTATTTTCAATGTTTTATTTAAAAGTTTTGCTTTTTACAATAAGTATACCAATAAAATAGGAAATATGCATTTTCAACTGCACAATACAAAGAACTATTTAAATGTTTTAAACAATGATAAGATTTGAATACATTTTTTAATTGATCAAATGATTGACATCTTTCTATATGCAAATCAATTATTTCATTATCTATAAATTTTTCCAACCATTGCTTCTTTTCTGCTCCTTTAACAGCAACAACTTCAGAACATACATGTTTTTTAATAAAATTTGAAATATCTTCATATGGTAAATATTTTCCTTCTTCTTCTTCATATAAAATATCAAATTCTAAGCCATGTAAATTGCAAGTTAACCATTCCATATGATTTCTCACTTTTGAATTGTATTGTTTCAATTCAAATGGATAACTTATAAATTTATGTGATGCCAAATGTCCATTGTCGTCAACGTTGACTATCGCTAATTCTTTACAAATAAAATTTCTCGGTCCATACTGAAAGCCTTGTACATCAATAATAAACATTTTCAATAGCGATGTAATACGTCTATTTGCTTCGACTGACTACGAGCGACTGAATATTTGAATTATTAGAGTACTCTTATGGTACTAGTTAATGGGTTGTACTTTACTAATTTATCATGTAAAATTAGACAATATGCAGTAGTCTTGGCAGGGATTGCTTTTCTTGTTTCAAACTCAATACGAATATCGATTGCACCACCCTTTAAAATATCCTCTCCTTGACAATAACCACCAGAGGGGCATTGTTCTTGAACAGAATGGGATAGTAGGTTGGTTCACTAAACGCTTTATAGTAGTATGATTTTTGGAACTGAGTATACATTTCATATAGGACTGCATATATATTATTAGTAAAATCTATATTTAAATTGTCATAAGGATATACTTCTGAGTTTAAATATACTTTTAAATTGGTCAAGTTGCAGTGTTGAAATCGACTCATATTTTTTGTTATTTGATTTTTTACATCTGTTTGAAATCCAATAATAATATAACAAGGCTTTTCCAACTGATTACTCGATTTAACAGCCCATGTATGGTTTTTAGTTTGTTGCAATTCTGGATATTTATGCAGTTCCCAACTCCTAAAGACAATCGGTAAATCTCTGTTGTTTTCAAAATTTTTTAGTAATCGTAATTTTTGACTATCATTAACTGATATATGAGGCATTTTCCACAACACTTTGTTCAAAGTGATCTTATAGTTATCCTTTGTTTCATTAGCTGAATGAATGGCATTAAAATCAGAATTATATCGTATGAGGACTAGTTCTTGTTTTACATTCATTACAATTTTATGATAGTCTTCAGCAAAACCCATTAGCATTTTCAATGGTATACATACATTAAAATTTCCATTACCATCGATTAATGATGGATTCTTCGTATCATGCCATCCAGCGTTATGTAAACCGTTATGCCAAACCAAACCAAACTCCAGGATTTCTAACTCTATCAACAATCACTCCTCCCATATCATAACGAATTTCATCAAACAGAAAAGCAACACCATTATTCACAAATTGTACATCAGCACTTACTGTGTTGTCAGATTTTGTTAATTTTCCTTCAATATAGAGGTAACTTTGACTAGGTAGAGTATACAGATCTTGGGTTTGTATTGGGATTCTAATTTCATCGTTGTTGTTCAAGGTTGTAGATGAATAGGGTTGGTGAGTGTGATACTGATAGCTCACTATTGAATCATCTTGTGTAACACTTTCATTAACTTTTAAGATGTTATAACTCATCTTTACTGGTACACTTAAATTTACAATTACAAAAACTAAAAATCAGTTAAACTAGTTCTAAGATGTAGCTTCAAGTTTATCCAAAATTTCCGAACTTTCTTAATTTTGAAGTCGACACTTCTTTTTCAATTTAAACCCTAATGATTGTAGAAATTCTTGATCGGAACGTTTTAACTCTTTTAAGTAATTCTTACTACTGAACCGTCTCTGAAAACTATTTTATCGTTTTATATACATTTCAGTAGGTAATATATGAGAGACCCTCCTCCTCATTTCTGTGATTTTCCCTCCTTGTACCGTTATTCTACGGCATTGAACTCTTAGGTTATAGGGACGTACAGAAATATCGATATACTATTTTTCGATATTTCATTATATTAAAAATGTCTATCTATTTAGATAATAACAAGTCGATTCATTCCTACTTTTTCTTCAAAGAGGGGGTGATATAGAGAAACAAAGATATTCTTATCCCCACTTATTTCTACCCCCACTATATCAATATCCAATCATATATAGTAAAACATCCAAAAGTAAGTATTAGTTCAGAATGACCGACGAAAATAATTTACAATTCATCGAGAGTGATGCAATACAATAAAAAAAAAATAACTAATGTTGTTAGAAAGCTGATTCAAAAATATATTGATTTCCATCAATCTATTTCTCATCAAATAGTTTTAATTAATCAAAAAGATTTATTTTTGCCACTAAAAGAAGATTGTCATAGGATAACTGAGTTTTGTGCTGATTTTTCTATTACAAAGTTAATCTTATGAGTTTGTGCGTGCATTGGGACACATATTTTGCAAGTGAACTAACACATATTGTTCCATACCTGAGAGTAACGAAGAATTCAAAAGTTATAATAGAAATGTTAGGTGTTCGAGCGGTTCCACTTGGTTGACGCTAGAGATCAGTTACTGCAAAGATTTAAAGACAAGTTACCACAACCCGGAGAAGTTAAGAGCACAATATCAAGAAAACATAGACTTCTTCGTCAATATCGTGCTCCGGAATATTTAAAAAACTATATTTTGTTTAAGGTGAAAAATGTCAAGTGAGAATATTGAACTAATTAGTTCAGTAATATGTATTCATCAAGAATTTTATGAATCATTTCATGAAACTTATCAAAAACTTAGGCAGATGGAAAAAATATATTGATATGATTCGTAAATATAAAAAGGAATGAGCGCGTGTGCACAATATTATGAAAATTATGATATATTAGAATTATTCTCTGTAATGATAGACTTAGGCTTTATAAATCAAATAACATACTTAAATAAATTTGTTAAAGATCGGGGAATACCTTACGAACATGTAGCAGATGATGTAAACACTAACATAAATAGCAATTTAGTTAACCAGGATAATTCATCCAATAGCTTAGTTGATGTAGAAGTACTAATTTAGTATAAAATTATATTTTAATAAAAGATGTAATAAATACTATATAGAGTTTTATTCATTCATACAAAAAAATTATCATACAAATATAAAACATTTGATAATGCACATACAATTTGACGAATAAATAAAACCATTTTGGTGGTCCGATAGGCAAAGCTGGTTGTTCATCTATTTCAATTACTGTTTTTTGGAATATTTCTTTACAAATTCTGCTTTTTCAGTTCCTTTAACATAAACAAATTCCACTTCAGCTTCTTCAATAAGTTTTTCAATTATATTTGAAAAATAATGGTGAGGTGTAAATCCTTCATTTCAGTTGATACAATGATGATTTTTCATTAGCCATACCGCTTGTCTGTGACATTCTGGTGACAGAAAGTCTAATGGATAGGGTTTTTTAAGGTATAATGTGAGATTCTATATCCATCAAAAGCTGCAAGTTCTTTAGGTAAAAAGGTGTTTTTCTCATCTTTAAATCCTTGTATATCCACAATCAACCTCATATTTTTAGTTCACTAAACTTTTTAATTAGGCTTTTTTGCCTTGAGTAATTTGTTCTTTCAATTTTTGTATTTTATAAATAAATTTTTGTATTTCTAGTTGTAGTGTTGAAGACATATCTATTACTACAGACACTATGTTTACTTATTTATATTAAATCTAAGAGGGTGGGGGTAAAAGTTTATAATTGTTTAACAATCTTTGTTAAAGGATTGTAACTAAATAATTTATCATGTAAAATAAGACAATAAGCAGATGTATCTTTTTTAATTGCACTGTTTGTCTCAAACTCAATTCTCATTACAACAGAACCCATTTGAAGGGTTTCCTTTTAGTGAGAACAATCAATATATGTAATTGGTGAAATTTCCTTAAAATTTTCAGTTAAAAAATGGGTTCATTAGAAGTACCATAATAAGAATAGCGAAGATTTGCAAACATTTCATATAAAGATGAATATTTGGTCTCTTTAAAAATTTAAATATTTTTTTTTTTTTTTTGGAATTTAAAAATATTCTAATATTTGTTAAATCTACATTGTCAAATTGACTCATATCTTTTTTAATATCTCCTTTTCGATTTTCTTGAAACCCGAATTATTACAGGACGGGGAGCTTCAAGTTTGCTAGTTGTTTTTACAGGCCATGTGTGTCGTGTTGTTTCAGTTAGCGAAGAGTATTCAACAAGTTCCCAACTTCTAAATCCAATTAGTATATCTTTATTTGACTCCAGTATTCTAGTGAGAGCTAGTTGTTGTGGTATATCAACTGAAATATGTGGTACTTTCCAATAGATTTTATCAAAAGAAACCTTTGGACTTTCTAAAGTTGTAGATGGAGGTGTTACATCATCCTTAAAGAAAACTCCATCTACATCATTATTAGATCTGATAAGAACCAACTCTTGTTTCATATTAATTATAATTTTTCTATAATCTTCAAAGAATCCCATTAGCAGTTTTAGTGGTATAGATACGGAGAATTTTCCATTCTCATCAACTATGATTCTATCCTCTTCTTTTCTGTGTGGAAACCAACCTGCATTTTGCAATTTTAAGCTTTCATTTGTGTTACTGGATAGATAACCTTTTAATGTTGATGCTAGCCCTACATTTCTTAGGGCATCTATAGTAATACCATTTAACTCATAACGAATTTCTCTAAATAAGAAAGCTATACCATTGTTCGTAAATCGCAATCTCTTTGTATAATTTCCCTCTGTGTTTGTTAACTTTCCTTCGATATAAAGTAGGCTTTCTGATGGTAGAGTGTAAGCATCAAGTTCTTGGATTGGTATACGTATTTCATCATTATAATCAAATTTTGAAGAAATGTATGGTTGATAGGTATGTAATTCTGAACTAACAATAGAGTTATCAATATATAACTTTTCGTTTACATTTAATATGCTCATTATATTAACACTTTAAAACCTAGCGATTTTAGAAAATTATGATTTTCGTGTTAACCGATTGGTGTTAGATTTGACACTGAATAATTTTTGTGTCAGTCTCTTTTTATAAGTTTTTATTTTGTTAGGAATAACTGGAGAACGTAATTTTATTACCTCTATTATATCTAACAACCATTTTATAATCCGTTTGTTTTTAAATGTAATCTTACTGTAATAGTCTCACCCCTAAAACTGATAAGATCTCCGTCTTGATCAACAATTTTTACTGTAATGTTGTTAATTGCTTTAACGCTGACTGGAAAATATAATATGGGTAATGGAGATTCAACTATTACCCTGGGCTACAAGCAGGATAAAAAATTGGTGAATAATATGAACAGGTTTTCCGTTACTAAATGAACCAACACAGATATTACAATCAATGCAAATAGCGTTGACTTTACTTATATTACCAACATTATCTGAGTGATCTACTTTATCCGCTTCTATGATTCTACTTTTTAAAACCTAGTATTTTTCCTATTGAATAATCTTTTGTAAAATCAATTTGTTTGCTACACATTAAGGTACATTTCAGGGTATTAGTATTAGGTTTTAATAAAAAAGCAACGTTTTCATTTTCAAACACAGTTTTAACTTTGTCTTTTATATATGTTTCTATATCAATTATATCATAAGTTCCATCTGGAATAACAATCACTTTATCACCTATATAAAGTTTATTGTGACCCTTTTCTATATTGGGTATTGTCATAAAAGTTTCAAAATCTGCCAAACCTAAGTAATATTGTTTTTCATCATCCAAATATATAGGTGGATTGAAATCAGCTGATAAAACTGAACTGTTTCCTGATATTGCTATTGTTGTAGACATTGTGTAAATGCTATTTTATTACATGTGTTGTTAGGTTATATATTATTTTTAAGAATTTTAGAGAAAGTTTTCCGCAGTTGTATGAATTATTTTTTGTTTATTTTCATATGTGTAAAATACTTTCACTTCACCATTTGAATTAAAATATTTTGAAAGTTCAACAGGTGGTTTTAAATTACCATAACTATCAAAGTATACAACATGATTATCATTTTTAATGTATGAAGTCCAGTGTGTTCCTTTATTTTGCTTCCTGTCTAAATTAACAACACCACACTCCTTTAAAGATATTGTATTTGGAAGTTCATCAAGCATAAATATACCCCTGAAATTGGGAATTTTCATTACCTTTACATATTTAATAATGTCAAT